GGAGCAGGCTCTGCACAAATGCGGAACATCTGCGGAGTTACTACGCACTTGTGCGGAGCTGAGCTCTTCATAGTGCGGAGCTTCACCCCGGATTATGCGGAGCTTAGCTCCGCACGAGTACGGAGTTCGAACTCCGCATAGTGCGGAGTGACCTCCAGATAAATTATGAAGGGGGACTGCAGTAGGGAGTGAAGTCATAAGTGTTCTCCAAATTTTTTATGCTTACAATCAGAAGTATGTTTCATAGTTTAAAGAAATTTAATTGAACTCAATGAGGTTTTTTTTTTTTTTGGCGCTTTTAACAATTATTGATACACGGGAAGAGCAAAGTGGAGCTTCTGCGAAGGTAGTGGAGAGATGGGGTAATTCGAATTCCTCCAAAAGCATGCTTGCTGCTTTAAACTTGAAGGAGACTTACACTTGCAGAAATTTTTGAGATCAACTTGGATAGACCGGGAACAAAAAATGCTATTGGCTTCCACATCTGTATGTGTTATTTAATATATTATTGACAACTAATTTTCTCAAAGTTTTTGAATTATAATATGGGCCTTGTTTTTTTAGGAATAATAATTTGTTCATTTTGATCACATTAATCTCATGGTGCTTCACCAAGAAAATATTATGTAAATTGTCTTTTTCATATTGGTTGAAGTTTGGCAAAATTATGTTTTTAAGGTTGTCACAGTTGCAAACGAACATCATGCTTGTTCCTTTAGACAATTGATTAGTTTGATCTAGACCAATTCATATTATGCAATTCCCATGTATTTGATACCATTATTTTCAAGGTTATTCCTCCTAAATATGTAAGTTGCCAATGGGTTGAGCAAATACCATTGATTGTGGCTATATATCACAATGACTTGTAATTCATTCTAAAGCATGAAAATCTGTTTTGGATAAACTAATTGTAGAATTTAACTTCTGTGCTTGTGTTTTGTGTCACTTGGTCTCTCGTGTGTCCTCTGCGTGGTGATTAGGTTTTTTTATCTGTTGAGCTGATCCACTTTTATTCTTTGCACCTATAGTTTTACTTTTGCCTGAAGCTGGCATTACTAGCTTCCTTGCCTTCTACCTATGGAGGCTTAGATGGCCGGGTGATATATATTGATGTCGAATCCAAATTTAGTTCAAAAACGTACCTATTGACTTTGAATTTTAGCCCATGTACCCAAATTTCCTTGATCCACCCCTGATCATTTAAATTCCGTTTTGGTTGAATTTGAATCTTTTTTCTTAATTGGTTTGCAGGGAGATATTTTCACATTTGTAAGGTGGGTTTGTGATTTTTTTCGGATTTGAAAAAATGAGTGACGATGGAGAAGAGGAAGGGGGCAATGTTAGAGTTCACCCCAACTTGGGTGGCCGCCGCAGTATGTACAATCATCGTGGCCATCTCCCTCGCTGCCGAGCACCTTCTCTATTATGCCGGCAAGGGTGGTTTATTGTTCATCTCTCTTCCACAAGCACTTGCTGCAAGGTGGTTACATTTTACAATTTTTGAATTTTATTTGTCTTTTCTGCTCAATGGTGTTTTTCTGTTTTCTAGCAAGTTGCTGCCTATTTTACTTTTCTTCATTGAATCACACACACACAAAGGCTATGGAATATTGTTGATCATCAGTGCAAATGCTACAGAGAACAAATGGCCTATCTTAATCATGATACGAAAGTAGAAAAGGGTGGTGGTGAGGGTAGTTGTGCTGCTATTATTGATTCTCGAACGTCTTTGCTTGTAGGTCCAACTGTACGTTTTCCCCTCATTTTATTCTTGTTTCATTCTCAGAAAT